TCTGCTTCTGTTTTTTGGGCATATTCAGGAATTATCTGTGGCCTTAATATTTAGATGGGTGTGTATTTTGGTATTTTTCATGCTTTCTGATTGCCTCTAGGTAGATGCAGTCAGGAAATGGGCTTCCCTTTTCACTCTGTGTAGTCAATAAAGCACAGGTAAATATCTTTCTGATATTCTTTGCTTTCAGCCAAGATCCATCGGACATCAGCAATGATATCCCTCGTTCCACAGCCTCTTTTGAATCCATCTTGAACCTCTCAAAATTCTCTGTCAATGTATGCTTGCAGCTGTTTCTGTATTACCTTTAGTAAAACTTTACTCGCATGGGATAGCAAAGAGATTTTCTACTTTATTTTAATTACACATTACTCCATAATGGATTTACCCAATTTTTTATTACTGAATATTGAGTTTGTACCCAAGTTTTATTATAAAGTAGATTGTGATAAAATTTCTTTTATTTCTATTTTGGGGTGTTTTCTTTGGGGGATTGTTGTTGTTATTACTACTTTTGAAATTTGCCCCTTTGGAAGTTTGTTCAGATTTATTCTTCCCTCAGCAGTGTTGATGTGCCAATTTCCCAATACCCTTGTCACCTTTGAATGCTATTTTTAAAAACCTGAACAATTTTGATTGGAAAATATAGTCTTTTATTCTTTGAACATTAATTGTGGTGATGAAGTTAGTTTTTTGATGGAAGTTGCTCAGGTAATTTCCATTTGACCATCAGTAGTTTCACAGGTATATTCCAGATTTCTTGGGTTCTAATCACCCTCCCTTTGCCTCCTCTGTTTTTCAGTTACGAGAGTGGCCTGACTCATATACCAAGAAGTTTGAGCACAGGATCTACCCCATAACATTTTCTGTTGGGAATCCTCAGGAATGGAAGAAACTATTCAAACCCTGTGCTGCCCAGAGACTCTTTCTTCCGGTAGGAACACCTGTTTTTTAATAAGATGCAGCTTGGAAGGGAATTGCTCTTGACAATGTGGTGAAATTATCCACCCTCTGCTTAGAGACGTTATACATACCACTGAAAATGTGTTTCTCTTGGATTCTAGACTTGATGCGCTTTGTGGATGCAGTGTTCTTTCCCAAAGACTAAGGAATGAGAGAAGCCAAAGCATGTCTTGGACTATGGCTCTTGGTGACTGTGGCTTCACCATTTACTTTTTGCTAGAGCTCTGGTAATGTAGTGGTTATGAATCTGGCTGTGAACCGCAAGGTCAGCAGTTCAAAACTACCAGCAGTTCTGCAGGAGAAAAATGAGGCTTTCTGCTCCCATAAAGATTTACAGCCTCGGAAACCCTGTGCAGGGTCCCTATGAGTCAGAACCGACTCCACGGCACTTAACAACAACAACAAATGCCTTAGAGTCGATTCCCGGTCATAACAACCCTGTATAGGGCTTCCTGGGAGCAGCTGATGGATTTGAACCACTGACCTTGCAGTTAGCAGTTCAGTGCTTATCCTACAGTGCCACACCAGGACTCCCACCATTTACTTACTGTGTGATACTCAGTGAATTCTCCAGCTTCTCTAAACCTCCATTTGTTCCATAGGTTTGGCTCATAGATGGCCCTCAGTCGGCATCAGCTGTGGTTAATTAGTTCTGTTAGAGCCATAACTCATACTAGATGGAGGCATGCCCCTGAAATCATTGAGAAAGGACCCAGAGTTTTGGTTCCACCTCTTACTATATTGAATTTCTAAATTGAATGTTTTTTATTTCCTTTAAAAACATTCTGAATAGAAGAAGTACATGCTATTGACCAAAGATTGCCACTTTGAATTGTGAATTTGACATTTGTGAAGGGTTCATCCCATCAGCAGAAATCTAGTGAGCGCTCATTGAAGTGATCAGCCCTGGCTTAATCGTGGAGATATGACAGTGAAGAAGACAGCCATGATGTTGCCCTCTTGAAGCTTGAGTGTAGTAGGATATCTTGTCATTGACCAAGCAATTGGAAATGTGATGTAGTAGAGTCAGAGACCTATGGTTGTGTATAGCATGGGCTCCCACCCTGCTCTGGAAGAGATGAGAGAACATTGTCTTGAAGCAGTGGCATTTAAGTTGAGACACAGATGAAGGAGTAGTAAGGATCATTGGACAGCAAGGGCCTGGGGAATAGTGGGCTAAAATAGGATCCCAGGTAGGTGCCACAGTATGTACCAAGGTCCTGATATAGGACGCAGTATGTTTGAAACAATAACAGCAGGTCATCGTGACTGGGAAATACAGACTGAGGTAGCACTGAAGAAGTCAGCAGGGTCTGAAGCCTGCCAACCCTGTAGTTCTGGTCAGGGTGTTTGACCTTTGTCTTACAGGCAGTGGGAATCCACTGAATCATATCTAGCATGGAAGTGGGATGAGCTGGTTGGCATTTTAAAGAGTACACATTGCTTCATTCCATGGACAGTGGAATTGGAGAGGACAATTAATTAATGATGCCTTGGGCATGGTGGTTACCTTAGAGATGGATTCAGGATCTGCCTGAGAAATAGAATTTGCTAGGTGTCATGATTCGTTAGTGTTAAGAGTTGAAGATTTCCCTCCTGTTTCTGATCTGAACAAATATTAGAGTTGATCTGTTTGGAACTGCCAACAGTCAACCGTGTATGACTTATAAAGAAGGCAGTTTTTAGGGTTCAGCCTAGTAAATGGATGATGCCATTTTTTGAGAGGGAAAAGACTGGAAGGTGGGCAGTATCAGTAAGTGGGGAAGATGAGTTCAATTTGGGACATTTGTTTTTATTTTGAGGTGCCTGGGTGACATCCAAGCAGGGGATTCTTATAATCTATTGGTCTGGAAATCCTGAATGGTGAGTAGGTAGCACTTTTAGCATTTTCTAGGAGCCCTGGTGTGACACTGTAGGATAAGCACTCGAACATAAGGTTGGTTTGAACCTCAAGGTTGGCGGTTCAAACCCACCAGCTGCTGCTTGGAAACCCTTGGAGCCAACTCAACAGCACTTAATAACAGCAGTGTGGTGTGGAGGGTTAGCCAAAAAGAGGAAGACCCCCAATGAGATGGACTGGCACAGTGCCTGCAGCAATGGGCTCCAGCCTGGCTGTGCTCGTGAGGGTGGTGCAGGACCGGGCAGTGATGGGTTCTGTTGTGCACAGGGTCGCCATGAGTCAGAACTGACTCCACAGTACCTGACAACAATAACAACCGGGCATAGCGCTGTAGGATAAGCATTGCACTGCTAACTGCAAGTTTAATGGTTCAAACCTACTCCTTGGAAACCCGATACAGGGCTGCCATGAGTTGGAACTGACATGATGGCACTTAACAACCACAACACAGGGACATTTGAGAAGATCAAATTTTATATATGTTGTTGGTTTTGATCTGTTCTCTAAGCTAGCCTGCTCACTAAATGACCTATTTCATACCTGACATAGAATGTTATTTTGTTGTTGTTAAGTGCCATCGAGTTGATTCCGACCCATAGCGAGTTGAATCCGACCCATAGTGACCCTGTGTAGGGTTTCCAAGGAGCAGCTGGTAAGCTTGAACCGCCGACCTTGCAGTTCAAACGGCTTTGCAGTCTGGCGCTTTAACCCACAGCGCACATTGGATGGGGGTAAGAAAAGACCTCAGATTGGTGCTAAGATCTCTAGGATGGTGATGTAACAACACAGTGTCATTTGAGAGAACCAGAGGAATTGTCAGGCTCTCCTTTGTGTCTCTATATTAGGTGGGATGGCGTGGGATGAGTATTACAAAGTCCACATTAATGTTGAAAAATTGTACACCAACTGGTCTAAGGAGTCCTGGTGTGGCGATGTAGGATAAGTGCATGACTGCAAGTTCAGTTTAACTGCAGGGTCGGTGGTTCAAACTCACCAGTCACGCCTCGGAAACCTTATACAGGGTCACTATGAGTTGGAACAAACTTAATGGCACTTAAAAGCATCAGAAACAACCTGTCTAAAAATACGAGCAACCCAGTGGGAACCACGTTTGAATGTTCTCTGACCTTGAATTGTGACTTTATTTTCGCTACTAAAAAAATAAACAAAAACCACCCCATGATGGTTTTTCGTTGATTTCCACCTAACTTAGTGTTCCATTTTGAATGACAAATGGATGCTGGCATTCCTTATCTGCTTCCGATAATGGAAACTAGCCCTTCTTTAAAAATAATAATAAAGGGAGATTGCAGTTGGCAGGACATTTACTTTTTCCCTGTCATATATCATAACAGCAGATTATGAACATGGCATTTGGGGGCATTGGTGACAGCTGTATTGATCCGCAAGGTAATTTGAAATAAAGTCTTGGTGATGTTTTCCTTGCAATTTATCTCTATAAACCAAATCTGGCATGCTGATGAGGCAGCACAGTGAAATGGAGATCCTAAAAGGCAAATATTCTGGCAACTGATTGAGGACCAGTGTTAGCCCCTCTTTGGTAATCTCAAACCTGCCAAAGAGACCCTTTCTCAGCTAAGATTTTACCATCTGAATAAGATCAAAGCACAAAGTATTTTTAAGTTCAAGTCTGTTAGCTCTTCAAATATGCTTAGTATAATTCAGATCCCAAGATTTACAAAGCCCTAGCAATCAGTGAAAGCTGGACAGTGAATAAGGAAGACCGTAGAAGAATTGATGCTTTTGAGTTATGGTATTGGAGGAGAATATTGAAAGTTCCATGGGCTGCCAAAAGAACCAATAGATCCACACCTTGTAGTTCAAAGCTACTTTGCAGTCCAGCACATTAACCTATAGCTCCACACCAGGACTTATAGGGCCGCTGTAAGTTGGAATCAACTTGATGGCAGTGTGTTTGGTCTTGGTAGTCTGTTAAGTGTTTCATACCGCTAGTTCACAAAGATTTCATAAATAGCAGTTTGAAAAAGGGTTGAAATAGTGTGAGAATTACCAAATTGTGACAGAGACACGAAGTGAACATTGCTGTTGGCAATATAGTGTTAGTTGACCTGCTCAGTGACTATGGCAAACTTGTTTTGACACAAGGTTGCCACCAACCTTCAATTTGTATACAACACAGTATCTGTAATGCACAATAAAGTAAAGTATGGTAATGGTAACGAAAAAAAAAAGAACCAATAGATCGATTTTGGAAGAAGTGCAGCCAGAGCGCTTCTTGGAGGCCAAGATGGCAAACTTCGTCTCTCATACTAAGGACATATTGTCAGGAGGGACCAGTCACTGGAGAAGGATATCATGTTTGGTAAGGTGGAGGGTCAGAGAAAAAGAGGGGGTAGACCCCAATGAGATGGATTGGTCAGGTGGCAGCATCGATGGACTCACGCGTGGCAACATTAGTGAGGTTGGCCCAGGATCAGGCAGTGTCTCGTTCTGCTGTGTATACGGTCGCTATGAGTTGGTGCTGACTCGACAAAGCAATCAGTGAACTTTTACTTTTCTATTTCTATGACTTATGGTCCTAGCAGCAAATGAATTCTGCAAACTAAACTGCAGATGGCTTGATTAAACTCTCCAAGATGCATATTGCTTTCAGATAATTCTGAAGCTTAAGGTACTTAAAACGACATGCGGATTACAAATAAATCAAATCTGCTCATTAACTTTGATCTTAGAGGGCTTTTCCCTTTTTCCTTAGTAAAACTTCATTAAGTTCCCTTTATTATGAAAATCTTTGCTTCTGTAAGAATAATTGAGTTTCATGAGTTCACTTAACCATTCCCCTAAGTGGAATGCGTGAGGTTTTGTAATGGCTCTGTACATTTCACCAGTTTGATTATAAAAGCTTATCTCCTCAGTAATTGTGGTCCTCTGGAGGTCTTAGGGATATGTACAACATGACAGAGATCATTAGACAGCAAATAGTTCCCAATATGATGTGAGATCAATTAAGGGAGTTTCAAGACCTCATCCAGGAAGAAAAGTGCTTTTCACAAAGATTCAATAAACTCCAAGATCGTAGTACTCTCCCA